TCGCCAAGGATCTCCTCCACTCCATTTCCACTGCACCATGATGGGACCACAGTTCAATTGTACCCTCTAACCATAACCTCTTAACCTTTCCTGCTCCCTGATTCACAGTAAATTTAGAAATCTGTTTTTGTTACGGTTTGCCCTTCATTTTTTTATTTATTTTTATTTAGTTAGTTAGTTATTTTTTTGGTGAGGCAATTGGGGTTAAGTGACTTGCCCAAGTTCACACAGCTAGTAAGTGTCAAGTGTCTGGTCTGAGGTCAGATTTGAACTCAGGTTCTCCTGACTTCAGGTCCTGTGCTCTATACACTGAACCACCTCACTGCCCCCTGTCCTTCATTTTTGAAGAGGACCAGTGTCATCATGGGATGATTCTTGACTTTAAGTGAGGCAATTGCACAAAGCTGTCAGCCTCACCCTCTCTTTCAGAGTCATCAAAGTCCAGTGGCAAGACAAAAGTCAGAACAACTGGTGATGACCCTGGATGCAGTGCATGACCAAGCTCTAAGTGCTCCACAGTGCCTGCTTCAGCCACCTTCATAGCCCTTGGAACAAATTGTTCTCATGTGCCCATTCTACCAGGGGAAGTCTTCACATGCTCGGGGTAGACACCCCCGTAACTCACCAATGGATTTGAGGCCATCGATTACCTTCGAGGTGAGGGTGAAATCTAGAAATCTACTCCCTAGGTGGGAGACAGTATAGTACAATGAAAAATGCCCTAGATCTGAGTTCAAATCCTGCTTTTGATGATTACTATCTGTGTGACCTTAAACAAATTTCTTAGCCTCCCTGGCCTTGTTTCTTCATCCATACAATGAAGGGAATTAACTAGCAAATCTCTGAGTTCCCACCCAAATCTAGATCTATGACTTGGTACTTTAATGTTTCATATCTTTTTTTTTATCTGCAATTTCCTTGTGAAGTAGGACTTGAACCCAGGTCTTCCCAACTTTAAGGTCAATTTTTTCCTTTTTTTTTTATTTGTGGAGGCAATTGGGGTTAAGTGACTTGCTCAGCTAGTAAGTGTCTGAGGTCAGATTTGAACTCAGGTCCTCCTCACTCAGGGCTAGTGCTCTATCCACTGTACCACTTAGCTGCCCCTAAGGCCAATTCTTTATCTAATATTCCACAAAGCTTCTCACTGGAGCCTGAGTGACTTGTATCTTAGTTCCCATGACTGACACTTTTATTTATTCTACTCTTACTACCAACCAATACCCCTCCCCACAACACACACACACACACACACACACACACACTAGATGACCCAACCTCCTACTTCACTGAGAAAACTAATACTTTCTGACATCAACTCCTTCAGCTCCCCTTCACCACATCTTAAAAACCTTCAGACCAAAGTGCCAATAATAAGAGAATGGTAATAAATTGTGAAAATGAGGAATACAGAGGGATATGAAAGACCTTTATGATATAATGTGAAGCAATAAAAAAGCAGGACCAGGAGAATGGAGTGTACAGTAATTACGATCATATGAGGAAAGGTGAATAAGAACAGGCCAAAAAGGAATCCTGATAGGAACACAGAAGGAGAGTTTGAAAAACTGTTATGATACATTGTGTGTTGAAATCTGTAAGGCAGGTCACAGTAGACAGACTGCTGGACTTGGAGTCAGGAAGACCTAAATTTAAATCCAGTCTCAAACATTTACCAGCTGTGTGATCATAGGTAAGTTATTTTAACTTCTGCCTCAGTTTATTCATCTGTAAAATAGGAATAATAATAGTATTTAGTCCTACAGTTGTTATAAGGATAGCATGAGATGATCATTGCAAAACACTTTGTAAACCTTATGGCACTATAGAAATGCCAGATACCATTTTGTTGTTGTTCAGTCACGTCAGTCGTGTCTGACTCTTCGTAATCCCATTTGAGGTTTTCTTGACAGAGATACTGGAGTGGATGGCCATTTCCTTCTCCATCTCATTTTGCAGATGAGGAAACTGAGACAAACAGGGTTAAGTGACTTACCCAGGGTCACACAACTAGCAAGTATCTAAGGCCAAATTTGAACTCAGATTTTCCTGACTCTAGGCCCAGTGCTCTATCCTCTGTGCCATCTAGCTGCCCAGCTATCATTATTGAAATCAATTGATTTAAAAATCAAGTAGTAAGCAAGTTCATTTGCTTATAGTAAGTGTCATTCTAATAAAACATTTATTTTTTTTTTTTTGGTGAGGCAATAAGGGTTAAGTGTCCTGGTCAGAGTCACACAGCTGGTGAGTTTCAAAGGTCTGAGGCCAAATCTGAATTCAGGTCCTCCTGACTACAAGGCCAGAGCTCTAAGCACTGTGCCATCTAGCTGCCCCACTAATGAAACATTTAATGTTGGGGAAGGAGGGTCCTTAAACCTCTCAGCAGCATTACTCTCTCTCTTCTCCTTCATTCCAACAATAGAAGAGCTACCCCTATTATTCACTAAAAACTAATCCCTCTACTTTTGTCCTTGATTCAATTCACTCCTATCAAATGTATTTTTTCTACTCCCAACCCTTCTTCTGACCTACAGACCCACATCTTTAACTACCTTCTGGAGATATCTGCCTACACGTCCCACAGATCCACTTGCATGTTAAAGTCAACAAAAGAAATTCATTTTCTTTCCCAAAGTGTACTCTTCTTTTTTGATTTAAATGTTTCTGCCTGTAGTACTAACATTCGCTCAGTCACCAAAGTTCACAAATTGGAAGCTGAAAAGGTGAACACCAAAGGTAGATGGGCAGGACTTCAATGATTCAGGAAGAGAGAATGAGGCTGATGAATTTTCACAACTCTACTTCACTTAAACCCAATTCACATAACAAATACCTTTAATAAAAAGATTTGTTCTGTGAAGTTTGGATTCAGTCAAAGGACCGCACTTGAGGACCACATATGGGGTTTGTTTTGTGTAGTTTGGATTCATTCAGAGGGCCACACTTGAGGACTTAGAGGGCCATACATGCCCTCAAGGCTGCAGGTTCCTCACCCCTCATCTAGGTGCTTAATAGCTGCTTACCAGTTGAGTCACACATTTTTTAAATGTCTCTGTCTAGCACCTAAGATCCTTAGAACCTGGCAATCTTTCTGGGTTTATTTCATATTATCTACCTCCAGGTACATTTATGAACCACATAAAGCATATTAATTCTCTGCCCCTGAACAACTTTGTGATCTCCTATCTGTCAGCTTTTGCTCAGGCAATCCCCTATGCCTGAAAAGCCCTCTTCCCTTTCTTCCTGTTCAATTCTTACCTACCCGTTAAAGATAGTTACTGGAACCATGAAATTCTCTCTGCTAAAGCAGGTCAACACCCCCTATGAATTTATACTCTTAGAAATTTGCTTGGAGCAGTAATTGTTTAGCAACTTGTCTAACACAGCTAGTGTGTTTCAGATGTGCCCCCTCTTTCATGAAGTCATCCCTGAGTCCCCTGGTTAGTTATTATCCTTTCCCCTCAAGCCTCAAATTGCATTTTGTTTCATGACTTTAATGCACTTCTCATGTAACAGTGCAAATTACAGATATTCATGTTGATTTCCTAGCCGCGATTAAACTCTTTGAGGTCAACAGCCATGTATATTCTAAACTTCTCATCTTTTCCATTGTCTCTACCAAGCAACAATCTGCGTTCAACCCACTAGGATATTAATAAATGTTTGAGTGTGTGTGTGTGTATACTCATGCGTGTGTTTATATGGAGGGAATTCTTATTCAAGTATGTGTTATACTGGATGATATTTGAAGACCTTTCCAAATCTTAATCTATAATTATTTATGGAGCAAAACATTAAGGATTTTCAATGCTTTGTTGGATTCATAATAAGAGATTTTATTATGTTCATTCCCTCAACCAATGTGGATAGCATCTCATTCATGCCTTCTCATTCCACATAATTCTTGTCCATATCCTTCCATAAATCTAATGCCCTAGGGGCCTTTTAATATTTCATGAATACCAGAGCTACTTTCAGGGTGTCCATCTGTTATTTCCTACTCTTACTATATGACTTCCCTTCCTTTCCAAACTTACATATTCTCAATGATGGTTTTCCTCTCACTTCACATACGCAAGTCATCGCTGTAATAGGTTGCAGCCTATCCATCCCTACCAATCATTTTTCCATTGCTCTGGTGGAACTGAAATTTTGATTATTCTGAGACAGTGATGTTCCATGAATCATAACTAGATATCATCCCTTACATCAATAAAATAGAGAAAGAGAAGACCAATGAATTGGGTATGCAATTAAAAAAAAACTTCAAGAAAGAACTAAAAATCCACAATTAAACACTAAATTGGAAACCCTAAAAATTAAAGGTGAGATTAATAAAACTTGAATGTAAAATTTTTTTAATTAATAAATAAAACTAAGTGTTGGTTTCATGAAAAACAATAAAATTGATAAACCATTGGTTATTTGGTTTTTTAAAAGAGAGAAGAAAACTTGGGTAAATATTTCTATTAAAAAGACAAACTTTTGTGACATGGAGTAACTTAGTATCATTGAAAGCACTCTGCAGTTTTCCAAATGTGATCCAGCATGCCCTTCTCTTCTTATTCAATTCTGGGCCCATTTCATGGTCTATCAGTGGTACCTGTCCAAGATCTAGGAACTAACAAACTTACTCAAGTGCTTGACATCCACCTACATGTCATAACCTGGGCAATAGGCACTCTTTATTGCCAGTACATAATCATTAAGTGATGAATTTGCAGCCATGGCAAACATGTAATAGATTTTAAGAATAATAGAGTAGCATTGTAAAATAAAAATACAAAGCACATAAAGGAACCACAGGGCTGCTTTTAATACCATGAAATAAACAGCACTTTATTTTATAGTGGAAAAAACAGAAAATAATGGACTTGGAGTCAGAGAACCTTGGTTGGAGTTTTGACTCTGACACTTACAATCTATGTGACTTTGGAGACTTTTTAACTATCCTAGGCCTCAGTTTCCTCATCTGTAAATGAGGACTGGGTGACCTTTGAGGTCCCTTCCAGTTCTAAACTTTATGATCCTATGATCATTTTTAACTATCTTGAGTTTCAGATAGCCTAGAAGTATGTGATCTGGAGAGTTTCGATAATCCTTGTGTTCTTCTTCAGAGCATTTTTGCCATTTTCCCCAAATCACCAAAGTTTACCCAAGACTTTCAAAATACAGAATTAAAAGAAAGATCATTTTGACTTACTCTCTAGGGTGTTTCAGCATTTAGCTGACTTAATCATTTCTATCACACGAACAGATGAAGCTTCCTATTTATCTAGGCAGACAGCCTTAGTTATTTCAGCAACTGGATCTGTTCATTGCAATTTCATTTTTATTGTTGTTTTTGAAATGCTGTGTAAAGCATAGCACTTTACAGTTTGCATCTAGGTGCAATCTAGTCTTTAGATTTAAATATGTTTATTTGAATGGGAAAAGACACATGCATACATATGAACACATTTTAAAATCATCATTTACATCATCAGTTCCTCTGTACATTTTTTTTCATTAAAAATAGTTAATAGCTGGCAAAAGTTCTGCAAGATGCCAGAAGTTTAAAGTCTCCCTTTTAAGCAGTAGTTCATTGAGAGACATGAGTGACAGCAGATGAAGGCCTCTTAAGAATAGACTCAACAGAAAATGACAGAGGTTCATTTGTGGAAAGTTTCGCTCCAACTTGTTTGGCTGCAAAAAAGTCTTTCGCATATCTGTCTATTGTAAATTTGTATTTCTGGTTCTCTTTGACTGAGCACTCTCTACGTTTCTTAACTGCCTCTTCAAAGGATTCTTTGACAAATGGTGTTTTTAACTCAGGTCCTGATTTGTCATTAAGTGTTTGCTGAAATAATGAGTGGAATGGATTATATTTGAGTGGCAGAGGGTGCCTACTGCTTTCTTTGCTGATCTTGTTTAAGACATGCTCTTGAGGAGACACAGAGTCCTTCTGAGAGATCTGTGAAAAATGTCTTTTGGGAGGGGAGAAAGCTGATCTTTCACGAACTTCCTGAAGGGCACACTGAATTTCATTTCTGGAGGTTTGGATCTCATGAGTGTGAGGCAACAATGGAGAGTTCTCCATTTTGGGTGACATCATGCTCTGTTCTACATTTTGTCCCTCTTGACCTTGGGACACCTTAGAGTCCCAGTTGGCCCCAGGTTTCAGAGTTTGTACTGAAGTGGTTGCATTTAGTAGGCACTGTTGGTAAAGAAGAGCATCGCTAATGGGGCCACACTTGGGCCAGACTAAGAGCCGGGAAGACAAAGGGTACTGCCGGTAGGTAGTGGCCACACTGACGTTAGAAGAAATCAGTTCCATGTTCCCAGATCCAGAATACTGCATAGTCAGATCAAGACAGGTAGGCAAAAAATTGCAAAAGTCCTTGCTCGGAGTTTCCACTGGAGTTGGGCTATAGGCAGTTTTATAGGTGTTATATTCAGGTCCGTGCACCATGCGGTTAGGCAGAAACAAGGCGGCAGCTTGAGTAGCTTCCATCATCTCTCTCTCTTTAAATTCTCTCTCTAGCATAATGTTCTCTAGTTCTTTATCGGCAAATGCTCGTCTTTTTCTCATCCTGTCACTCACAGGGGGAGGCAGAGGGGAAGTCCCTCCCAAGTAAGTCTCTGTTGGAATGGGGCGGTAGCCTAAACAGGGCAAGGGATGAAGACAAATGATATTAATATGCGAAAAGAACAAGGGGTTAAACAACAACATGGCAAGAAGAAACTCAAGAATGAGGACACTCATTCTCTGGTTAACAACGTTTAAGAAGCACCTATCCACAATTCTATATTACTAGAATTTTCTAACCCCGATGCAAGTGGAGCAAGAGGGTAGTTCCAGATCCAACTTCACAGAATCTCGAGAGTTGGAAGGGACTTGAGAGGATACCTAATCCAACCCATACCTGAAAAAGAATCCTCTCTGCAATTTCCATTGTACATTTTCTCCAACTTTACCTTTTTGGGGCTTACTGACCCAAAAGTTAATGTTTTTCACAAGTTCTAGCATTTTAGGAGAGGATGCTGCTTAGCATACTATGAAATATCACTGCTAGAGGAGACCTTAGAAACCATCTAGCATAATTCCCTTGTTTTACTGATAGGGAAACTGAGACCTAGAGAGGTGATGTGACTTGGCCATTGTCCTATAACTAGCTGGTAGCAGAACCCAAGGCCAAGGTCTCATGGCTCCCAGTCCAGTATTCTCACCATCCTTCCAAGTTGCCTCACTTGTTTCCTGAAGTAAATTACATTATCATCACATCACCCTTTTTCTATTATCAAAAAAGAAATCTATACCTAGAGCAGATGTCATATTTATTTTCTAAAGATGGACCATTATGTACACATTGTTACAGATGTGGAATAATCCAAGGATAACTAGAAGAAAAGAGAAATAAAGAAATTTAATGCAGATTAGTAAGAAGAATAAGAGATAAGATTCAGAATGAATTTCAGGGACAGCAAGGGAAGCAGAGAACATTGGGAAGACCTTTGTTGCCTAGCCAAACACTGCATTGAACATTCTAGTTACTCTTCTTAGAAGGGAAAAGTCAGGGAAAGAAAATTCACTAGAGAACATTTTAGTTACTCTTCTCAGAGGGGAAAAGTCAGGGAAAGAAAATTCACTAGAACATTTTAGTTATTCTTCTCAGAGGGGAAAAGTCAGGGAAAGAAAATTCACTAGAAGGTATTTAAAGTACCTTTTTTAAAAATATGTGTATATGTATGTATGTATGTATATATAGTGTGTGTGTGTATGTATATATATACATGTCTGTATGTATGTATATGTATGTATGTATGTATGTATGTATGTATATATCTTTCCCCTATCATTAATTATCTTGGCAAGAAACCAAAATGGTTCTACAGGCAAACATTAGAACACAGATAAAGTCATCTCATATTTTGTGAATAGAGACAGGGTCAAAAACATAGATTAGTGTAATATAAATAGCATTTCTGGCAACATAAAATACTTTGGGCCTGTGATCATTCATCAGTATTCACCACTATCAAATTTGTTTGAAAAGTCTATTGTGCCATTTGTGTTTACATAATGATGAGTCCATTGTGCTCATTTGCAAATAAAATAAAAAATGAAAATTAATGTTTCTATTTCTATAGCACAAATCTTTGCCAGGAAGTTATTTATCTAGATTTAGGCTGACATTTTTGCACAGGCAGCTCAATTGCACTTTTAAAGTATGATCTTTATCATCATAATTTTATTTGCCCAGTTTATAACCAAATTAACTTCTGAGGTGCAAAAAATTGTTTGAGATCTGATCTACATAGCACAAAATACAGCAATGGAAAATAGCTTATGAACCTAGAATGCTCAGCTAATAAAACCTCCTAATTCTGGACTTGAAAATATGCTTTTCAATCTGAATTTTCTGGGATGGAAATAAATAAAATAAACACAGTGATAGACTTTTTTCAAAAAGTTATTTTTTAACAAGGTAGTCATATGCTATTTAGCCCATTAACATATAAAGATCTTCAATTGAAGGACACAAAAATATCTTTTTAAAAGAAAGAAAAGGAGAGGAACTATGCATGGCTACATCTCTGGGCACCAGAACAAGTGAATAAGTATAAACACCAGTTCTGCACAGCCCAAATTTACCCTTTGATTAATTTGGTTTGATATAGAAATGGCCCAAAAGATCATTGGGAAGAAGTGTGTTTATGAAACATGTTATTTAAAGCATTGCTTTGGGTCAGGAATTTAGGCTACAAAGAAAAGTATAGATCAGAGGCAATTCTCTGGAGTGAAAGACAAAAATAAATTTCTCTAAGTGAATTACCCAAATTAGATGACCATACTAATCAAAATTGCTAGGTTCAATTCCTTACTTCACTTTATCCACCTAGACACAGCCCCTGGAGTGTCCAGCAAGGATGAGGGTGAAACTTCCTTTCTTTGGTTCTTTCTTTCCAATTAACAGTTGTTCTTTCTAATCACACTCAAAGTTATTGTTAGCATAACCCTACACAGGAAATGTTCATGTTGCCTAAATTATAATCTATTGGCCAGTAAACTGCAACTAAATCTGTTATGACAGTCAGTTTAGTAATACACAAGCTATCCTAAATGGGGCCATGCTTAGCACAAACTTGTGTATATCCTCTGCTGCAGCTATTTAGTGCAAGAAAGGAAGCCTTCAGACCTTAGAAGTACTTGCTGCTCAGACTTCTCCACAGGTCAATGAATGTACAAGTCCTGAGAAGCAGAGATTAGGCAGCCCAGCATAGCTCATTTCAAGTGCAAAAGACCTTGGGTTCCCTGAGATCAAGAGGATGTTTTTGTTTTGTTTTACCTTCCAAAATGCTTTTGGCCAGCAAACTGGGTGCCCGGACTTGTCTCTGGTAGACTGCTTTGCGTTCAAAATTATTCTGTTTCCCAGAGAGCCCTTTCTTGTCCTGCAGGTAGGGAGGAAGCAAAATTAACCAAGCTGCCCAAAGAAAGGGACAGGTGAGGGCGATGATGAGGACATAGCTCTCAAACCTCTTTTTCATTTCCCTGATATGAAAACAATTCTAGATAAGATGAGGAAATGAATACATATGTAAAAACCTCAACAGCAGGCCCTTCAGAAGGGAATGATGTCAGTACCCTGACTATCAGAGGAGGGGTAAAGTCCAGGAAAGAGAAGTATCTATCTACCCAAAAAGTCACCCAATCAGAAGTATAAGGAGCAAGTAATCTTGGTGATCCTATTTTCTCCTAACTTGGGGATCAAATGCCCCTTCTCAGCTACCAGCCTCCCCTCATGTCTCCCCACTCCACTCCCCATTATTTCTTCCTACACTCTTCCAGGCCCTGGGAGCCCTTAGCAAGCTGTTTTCCCAGGCAGGCTCCCTGCTGCTTGCTACTACTCCAAATCTGACATAATCTTCCAAATTCCCACCTAATTGTGACTTTCTCTCTCTCTCTCTCTCTCTCTCTCTCTCTCTCTCTCTCTCTCTCTCTCTCTCTCACACACACACACACACACACACATACACGCCATTTAGACTAAGGGTCCACAAATTATTTGGGGTGTAGAGTAAGAACAGCAAACCTACTGAAAACCAAGGGGCCAGTTCAAAGGAGACCAAAGTCAAGAAGAAATTTATCCTAACCAGAGCATTCTGAATGGACAGAGGGAAGGAGATAGTGGTTGTAATGATTCATTAACTAGTGAAAGGAGTGGATGGCTATCCTTGGTCAGTGATTTTGGAGGCTAGTTTTCTCTCCCTCTAAGCTCTGGGCAGCTAGGATCTCTGTCTTTAAAGATCCCCTTTCTTGTCCCCAGACACCCTGGAAATGCAAGGTTAGTCCTTTATGCATTTTAGGAAAATGAGAGCAAAACTAAACCATCCAGAACAGCCAGGTGGAGGAGGGAGAGAGCAGTTTCTCAACCATAACCCCATGAATAGCGATGTGGGTCGTGGCACGCAACCCAACTCCAGCAGATTTAGCTGGGCTGAAATCTTAGGCCGGGGAGAGGGTTGGGCTTCTTCTGGTGGGGAAAGCTCAGCAATTCTCCTCTACTACCCCTATACCTCCAGCTCCACCTTGGTTATGAACAGGGAAAAGATAGCCCCCTTAACCCTGCAGAGACAAAAGAATATAGGAGGAAGGTGATGGACTTTCTTGGGAAAGGAGGAGGTTTTTGGTTTGGGGCTTGGTTTGGTTTTTTGTTTTGTTTTGTTTTTGTTTTTCTTGAGTTTTCCTTAGAAACCTTGAGTTGGATGAGACAGAGCAAGCCAATTTATTTCTAGTGCTCACTACCAGGGATCAGGGAGATTATCTTGCTAAAAATAAATTCAGGTCTCCTCTCTTAGTATTCTTTCTGTCTCCATTCCTGGTAAGGTAAGGAGCTGTCAACTTGGGGTGTCATTTGGTCAATAAAAAGAAAGTAGGACGAGTAATGCTCTTCCTAGTATTAGCAGTGGTAGAGTCAGGCAATGGCTAACTCACATTTATATTAAGAAGGAGTAAGATTTGAAGCCAGGAAATGTAAATCTTGCTTCTGATACATAATAGCTGTGTGACCGTAGGCAATTCACTTAACCTCTCAGGACCCATGGGCAATTCTCTAAGATAAAGTTAGAGAAGAGTTACTGATCTGTATCAGTGAAGGGAGCCTCCACACTGTGAGTACCCAACCCCCTTGAAATCATATGTCCCATAACTCTTTCTCATCTTGACTAAAGGGTGATCTCAGCCCTGAATTCTTTCCAACCCCTCAGAAATGTATGTAAGGAGACCCCTAAGTTTCTCAGTCCTAGAACTCAAGCTGGCAGGGACAAATAGCCTTAGGCTTTCCTGATCTTAGCAGCCTGACCATTCCAAAAAAAAAAAATCTGAATTCAACTAGCAACCATTTATTTATTATTTCCAATCTAATTGAAGACAAATTAGTTGAAATGATTGGGGAGGGGGAAGAGGAGAGAATGATCACCCAGCCAGGTACAGAGGGAAGCCCTACTACTGTCTCTAGCCCCCAGAACTCTAGCACTGTCAACAGAGAGGTTCTTCCATACCCTTTTAAGAGAGTAAAAAGAGGAAGGGAGCTGGGTTCAATCATTAAACAGGATGGAAGAACAGAAGGTAAAAAGTGGCTGTACTTGGTCAGATATTTTGGAGGTTAGCTTTCTCCCCTCTGGGCCACTAGAATCTCTGTTTTTAAAGTGCCGGGATGGAGCACCTGAATAGCTAGTGGAGCTATCTTTCTTAATGCTCATAGGATCTGAAAAGGACCTTAGACATCTTTAATCCAAAGCTCTCTTTTTATAGATGAGGAAACTGAGCCCCAAAAAGACTTAGTAACTTTTTACACACAAGCAGTAAAAAGTGCCTGTAACTGAACCCACGCTCTCTGTCTCCCACTGAAGTTCTCATTCCACTGGACCAGGGGTTCTTAAGCTAAGGTCCATGAACTTTTTTGTTTAATATTAGAGATATTTAATATATCTTTTCAATATTTGATCACTGTATTCCAATGTAAGTGTCTTCTTTTGTAATTCAGTGCATTTTATTTTATGCATTTGAAAATACTATTCTGAGGAGTCCATATACTCCATCAGACTGCAAAAGGGTCCAGGACATAGAAAAGGTTAAGAATCCTTCAGTAAATCATGCAACCTCAGAAAGTCTCCTCACCTCTTAAGATTCACCACACACACACACACACACACACACACACACACACACACCTCAAACTCCCCTCTGGTGGTCCCTAACGAATGGGGCTCCTGTTACCTCTACTGAGCGCACACACACACACACACACACACACCCCTCGTTGCGCTCTATCTCTGATGGAGATTATCCACCACCACCACCAGTCTCCTCCAAGCCCAGGTGCCACCCGTACCCTGGAGCCAAATACTCACCTCGGTGGCCTGCTGCCTCCGCAGTGCCACCTGCGCCGCCATGACCCGCTGTCTCTCCACTACCAGCAAGCAGTTGGCACACTGGCAGTCCCGCCAGCGACAGAAGCGCTTGTGGCCCTTCAGGCAGGACACCACGCCGTGGTTTCGGCAGCGGGCGCACTTGGGCGTGCGGCTTAGCTTCCTCTGCTCGCCCCCGCCTCTGGCACAGCTACCCCCTCGCTCGGCCTGTCCTGCCGCCTCAAGCTGCTCCTGCAGGGGCTGCTGGGGCGGCAGTGGCCGCGGCTCTGGGCCCTGCTCCTTCAGTTGCTCCCGCTGCTGGGGTGGGTCTGGCGTCCCCGGGGATGGCCCTTCGTCTTCCCCTTCTCCTTCTTCCTCTCCTTCATCTTCCTCCTCTTCCTCGTCTTCGTCCTCTTCCTCGTCTTCCCCTTCCCCTCCTGCTGGCAGGGAGCCGGACCCACGCGGCCGGGGAAGCTGCGGAGGCAGCAGCGACGACGGCGGCATCTGCGCTCCCTGGCGCTCTTCCTCTAGCTCCAAGCTCTCCACGTCTATCTCCCAGTCCCCCGGCGCAAGGGCTGCCTGAAGTTCGGCCATGGTGTGCGCCTTGGGTCTCCCCTCTGTTCAACCCGTACCTTGGCCCGACCTGCTCACTGTGAAAACAAAACGATACCAAAGAGACCCAACCCAGTTTCAATTACTTTCATGATCACGGAGCCACGCAGAGACTTAATGGCCTTTAATTTGCCTCAAGGTTACCCATTCCCAACTGGTGCGCACAAGCACACACACACACACACACACACACACACACACACAAACATGACCTTAATGCACTTAGCCCCAGGACATACAAAGCACTGATCTTATCACCTTAGCACAAATGAAGTGTAATTATTATCTACATGTCAGGTTTCTATCAAATGTGGTCATGCTGAATTTATTACCTAGATTTTACGCCAAGCCGGATAACTAACTGCACTTTGCTCCATTCATTAAACAAATCTCGTAAAAGTTATTGCCTCTCTCTCCGAATTCCCACAAAGAGTTCCTGTGTCATACTTGCAGCCTATTACTTCAAGATTAAAATCTCTATTAAAACGTGTATATATCTCTGCTGTTGGTCTAGGCCAGACTAGGCCACCTGTCAGACTTCACTGAAGACAGATTGGTTTGGCGGCACCAATACAGAATGTTTTTCCTTTTCTTAAAAGTTGATTGTAAACTGGTGACAAAGCCTTACCATTCTTAGTTATCTTTTCACCCAACCTAACACTTTGTGAAACTACAAATGGACTCAATTATGCCCCATTAGGTGTGGTTTGGTTTTTGGAATGAATTATGTCCCTCATTCTCCAGAAAGAATTAAAAGCTTTGTAAAGCAAGTTCTGCTTCTGATCTTTAAATACCACCCGAACACTTGTTACAAAACAGTCACTGGCTCCCCAAAAGTCTTGTACATTCGAAACAACTGAGCTATGTAAGGCCGAACCCGGGTAGGTAATACATGACGTGTGCCTTGGTTTAAATCTGTTAAGTCAAAGGACCTGGCTTGAAACTTTAAAAAAAAAAAAATTGTTCATGGTTTTTGGGCACCCCAAATCCAGGACTTAGTTCACCTCCCACATCCAATTTCCCCCAAGCAATCGGACTCACCAAAGATATGTGGTCCAGGGCGGCAGGAAACGCAAACGACATCCAGTCTTGTGATCTGGCTCTCAGATAGCTGGGTGCGCTTGAGAATTGAACCAATCAATTCTCTGTAGAGTTGACCGTGGGGCAGGGGACCCACTAGATGGGGAGTTCGAAGATGGGAGAGAAAGTAGAAAGAAGGGAAGGGGCGGGATGGAAGAGATATAGGCAAGTTCTCAGTAGCCCATAGCAGGGGTATGTACTCAAGCCTTAGTTAGAGGAGTTGGAGGGTTGGGGGCTATGAGCCAGGGTAGAGCCTTTTGCAGCCCTAGATGATGGGAAAAGGTGCTGGAAGACCTGCGAAGTCGTGGAGACGCCTCTGGGATCGCTCTAGCAGAGAAAATGTAGGGGAGATCGTAATGCTCCTGCTATGACCAAGGCTGCTTGCTCCTTTGCACTGCTCTGAGGCCTCACACACAGGTCGGTCTACAGTAACAGTCCCGGGGCCGCCTCGCCCCTTCCTTGTATTATCTGCTCAGACTGCCGCGCTCCGGACCAACTGATTGGTAGGTTGTAAACCGATGGGCGTTCTGATTGGCTATGGAGTTTCCTTGGCCTCTGTCCCCTCCGCCTTCTCAGTTACCGCTTGTCTCCTCCCCTGCAGTGCCCTGCCAAGTCCGGCTGTCTGTGCTTTCGGTAAAGCGAGGTCACCTTTACCAAAGCAAGCACCAATTGGGTAACTAACTAGGGTCTAAGGAAAAGCCACTGTTTCTCACTCGGGCAAGAAAACAAAAATATAGCCACTCACATGCGGAGGCACAATGATAATGGGTTTTCAAAGCCTATACTGTAAACATATGGGAGAGAAAGTAATAAATACTACCGCAGGAGGTCAGAGGGACTAGCTGAGCGGGATACGTCACAATCATTCTAGTGATACTTAAAATTAAACGAAAGTTAGTGGGGGAAATTATGGCGTCCTTTTTCTTCTGGAAGCAATCATTATTCAAAACTGGTCGTAATTCGAAATCTCTGTACACATTTAACATTTGTGTGTACGTAGAGTCTTTCATTTTAGAAGCCCAAAAGTCTTCATCTTATTACTCACTTCTTCCCCAATTGTAAAGTTGTCTTTTGTTTTTGTTTCTAATGTTTATCCAATATCGAATTTTATTTTTCTGTTGGGATAACTGATGCATCCACAGATAGGAACGTTCATCCTTTCATAAAAGTAACTACCAGATAAGCATGTTGTGTTAATCTAGTGGGTTTTTTTAAAAGTATGATTATTTTAATACATTTTAATTTATAAAAGAAAGAGATTTCCTACCGGCTCTTCCCTTCAACTCTCGAATTCCAGCAAACTTCCTGGAAATAAAAGCATTCACTGTCCTTAACTTCACACTATATTAAAAGGAAAGGTTGTTCTTTTAATTCATATCTGTGTTATGTATTGATTTTAAAAAAATTAGAATGAGTAGTTTGCTGGTTACACCGTGATATGAATGGGTTAGGTGAGAGAGTAAGAAGAAATCACCCAGGGATCCTGAAGCTTTTCACCACTGAACTAGGACATGTTGACTTAGTTCCAATGGTCATTTTCCCCCAGCATGCCTTCTTCAGAGGATACTCAAACTTCAGCATGTTTGAACAGAATTTACTAACTACTTTAAAACTAAATTTTTTCCACTGGAACCCCTAATCCCCGCCCCCCAAAGGATGAAGGCTATTCCTGTGTGTTGTGTTTTTGAAATGTTGCTCTTTCCCGAGATGATTCATTAATTTAGGTGAACGTTTCTGTGCACGTTTTTAGAAAATATCTTCCTAAACTCCAGCTGGTGGAAATCTCTGAGGCTCGAAAGCTTTTGCATCCCAAGATGGCAAAGGTGAAAAGGGACAGGCTGGTTTTCGATATTTATGCTTCTCTTGTGATGATTTCAGAAAAGCTCTCGTTTTCCATAAAGGATAAAATAGAAGCAACAACAGACAGGCTGTCAAACAAGGAAAGGGCAGATAGATAAAGGCTAAATTTACATAAACCGTTCCTATAAATAACATCACTACCTTCTGTTTGTACAACGTGGTTTTTATTTCTCCAAATACTTTAAAATACATTAGTTTATCTAATCCTCACAACAATCCTAGGAGGCAAGCAATTTTGATGAAACTGAAGTTCAAATGATAAAACTGAGATCCAGAGAGGTTACGTGAATCGTTTAATATTGTACAGAAAAATACTTGTAAGCTCACTGAATTGGGAATCCGGAGGCATAAGTTAGAGACCCAGAACTGCTGCCTCCCTTAAGAAAATGTGATAAGTGCACACATAAATCTCATGTCAGTTACCCTCAGAGGTAAACCACTTACACCAAAGGAAACGCATTTTGTTTTCTGTCTCCTTCCAAGTTCTCTCCCCCTACTCCCTAATTGTTAAATATATTTCATCTTGGGCAATTTTCTTGAGTAATTATAGTATATTGTTAGAAAGATTGTTTTTTTTTTACTAATCCCTGTTGAATTTTTCAGTGTCAATATTTGACAGCTACAATTTTACCTTCGCAAATATACATTAGCATGTTTCTCCTTAGGAATATGCATGCATAATGCAAAACCGCAATTACACAGTATATGTTGTACATTTTACAAACTATACAATCCTTTATTTTTTTTATAGTTGGAGAAGGGCGGATAAAATACCTTTCAAAAGTCAGTTTAACCGGGGGCGGGGGGGAGGGGCGACAAAGAAATTGACGAAAACAAGAAAGTGAGCTTGCCCACTTTTGGCTAACCAGAGAATAAACTGTTGAGAATAATCCAGCTCACTGATTAAGTTAGAAGGAGGAGGGAGGATTGAAAACGGAGGCGTAAAGAGCAAAGCAAAGAGGGGAAGGAGAGGAAGTTAAAGAGAAGGAAAGGGGGAAAGAGAGAAGGGGGGAGGAGAACGGAAAAGGGACAGAGGGTAGAGAGAGCAGTGCCACAAAAAAAGAGTGGCAGAAGGAGAAATAAAATTAAGAGAGTGAATGGCAAAAAAGAGGGACAGGCTACTCCCCAAATTGAAAATAAACAAAAGGTATGAGCTCTTCCAGTTTAAATAAATGCTACCTAAAGTAGAAACCACTGAGCCATGTGTACTGTAAACTGCCCACAAAGAGAAAAATACATGCCAGGCCAACGCTCAAGCCTGGTCCAAGAGCGCAGCCTCCATCGTGGTAGATAACAACTCTGGAGACTCCAGGTGAAGGAAGTATTAGTAGCTATTTCCAGGGAACTGGGAGGAAATAAGGGGAGATGAGAAGTTGAGTGACCAGCGAGGCGGCGATGTCTGTTGAATGGAATTAATTCATACAAGTCACTTAGTTTGCTGGAGCTGGAAGGGAACCTTGAAACAACCTAGCCCAACCACCTCGTTCTTCATACAAGAGGCCCAGACCCGTGAAGTGACTTAACTAAAGTCACGGAGCACGAGTGTCAGAGCAGGGATCTGAAGTCATCTCTTGGTCTAATACTCTTTTCTCTATACATCGCTGCTCTTGAGCTGATCTGAAATGCATTTAATTGAGCTGACTCGAACTGAACTGAGCTGAGTTGAAATGAAATGAAATGGACTGGAATGAAATGAAGTTTGCTGCAAAACACCCAAGAACTAGTAGAGAGAATGAATGATTCCGGGCACCAGAAGAAAAGAAAGGAGAGTGGATTAAAGAGATGGCTTCCACTCCCTCGTTCCCTCAGCCCCACCACACCATGCCCCTCTCTCTAACCCCACTTTTCACCCTCCCAGTTAAGGATCCTGAGCAAGCCGATTAAGCCCTCCATCTTTAAATGCTCCTTTCGAAACTCTCTCCAGAATTCCCAGAGAGACAGGCTGTTGTTTTGTGGAGGGGTCTGTAGGTTCAGGACAGAGTTTACAAAGCTAGTTGGCCCTTTTCTAGGGACTTCATAGTAACATAGTCCGGTACCCCTTCTCTAAGAAGAAAATAACCACCAGCAAACTAAGCCCATTGCGCCCCTGCTGGCCTACATCGCGTCACCTCGCGGGCTCCAGCTACCCCAGCATCTCTTCCATCAGCGCCAGCCCGCAGCCCCTCTGTTCGCTTTGTTTGAAAGATTAGAAATAGCGCAATAGTTCATGCCCATGCCAGAGGACCTTTTGATTGCGAGCACCTAGGCAGACCGAGGGCTCGGGCCCCTATCCCGCTGCTTGCCCCTTCTCTTTTTGACAGATAGCTGGCTCAGCAGTCTCCGGGGGCTGAACCTCGAAGGTGTGGGAGTTGGAAAGGAAGAGCTGAAGTCCCTCGTGTTTGATATTATTCATCCTCAAAGGAGACCCAGGCTACCGTTTGACTTATAAGCATGACTAAAAGGCAAAGACCCTCGGAATCCAGCTTTCCCTCTTGGGGTCCTTCTCTTAAAAAGGGGTCAAAGCATGACAGAAGACCTGTTAGGTGAGGAAACAGAAGTCCCTTTGGCTTGTAAACTGACACCGAATTACAAAGCGAAATTCTGTGAGTCATTCTAGTAAATTACAAAACAGTTTGCCTTATGTTTACCTTACCCGCGGGGAACAGGAGAGTCGAACCTCGGCTTTTCCAAGAACTGTTTGTCTAACTTTCTTCTTCTTCTCCTCTTAAAGTTTGTTTGCCTTAGTTAGTTCCCGCCTTAGCAGCTCCCCCATCACCACCTCCTAGATTCTCCCACCTGGTAGCCCAAGGGCGACTGTGGCCCTCAGCCGCCGCTTTTAAACTTTGATGAAATCAAGCAAGGAAAGAAAAAGATAAATCGGAAGAACAGAATACCTCTTTTTGGCAATGGACTGGTGGTTTTCCTTCTTCCCTTTTTTTGTTATCATGCTTTCTCAAAAAAAAAAAAAAAAAAATCCGTCGTCCAAGACTACCTTACGCTGGCGACTTCTTCATCTCTATTTTAATCATTTCTCTTCAGTATTTCTGTGTTGGTGTATGAATGTTTTAGCTGATCTGTTGCTATCTCTGCAGAATAAGCATTTTCAATCCTTTCCTTTCCCCTCCACCCCACGCCCAGCACTTCTTCTGCGTCCTGTATTTATTTTCCTTTGCTATATGATGAGGGTCGATTTGTTTTATTTTCGGTGATTCGGGTACTTTGATGCCTTTTCCTCTGCCAGCCCACACTCCCTAGCCCTGGCTCACTTCTAGGACGGACGCCTTGCAAATTTACTGTTCTCCAAGAAGCTGCAACAGCCTCAGGTAGTTTATGCTGCCTGTCTCCAAATAGTCCTCTCTGTTCTACACTAGCTTCCTCTCTCTGCACCTGTCCTCTGGGAGAAAAGGTGAGGTTCCCTCCTCCCGCTGCTTCACTACTCTGAAGTGGCACTTAAAGAAGGATTGACCAGGATGAGTCCTTTCTTCTCTCCCCCTAATACCAACACCTACATAACTGGAGAAGTGGAGATGTTTTGATTGAAAGGGATAAAAGAAAAGGTTATTCCCCACTC